GCCCGCCCCGCACTTACTTAGACCTGCTCGCATGCTGCGCAGTCGGCCACGGACACGCAACCCGGCGCCGCGTAGCAGCGTCCCCGCGCGCCGCTTCCGTCGCTCCTCATCGTCCTCCGCCAGCTGAGAGGCCGCGGCCGTGGCCTCAATCTAGCCCGGAGGTGCTGCGGCGCCGTTCTCGACTCCTCCACTTCCGGCCCACACTCGGTGTCGCCCACAAATATCCCCGGCGGCTGCCACATCACCTGCTCTCCACCTCTCTCCTAGGAGTGGGAACCCGGTTCCCCCTCCTGGGCATGCGCAGAAATCGAGGCCGGGGGAGTCCGGGAGACGGTGGCCCGGACGGACAAGATAGGTCGACGCCTGGCTGCAGGCATTCGGGTGATTCCGAGGGACCGGTCGGCATCGCGGTGGGCTCGCCGCCTCCCCGTCCCCGGGCACTAGGAGCCCTCGGGTGGGCTTCCCTGTGGGGTGAGAGCTCGAAGCCCACCAAATCGCTCTGCTGGACTCAGTTTTTACAGAAGAAAGTGCCTGCCTTATAGGGTTGTTTGGAGTGTAGAAGTGAGTTTCTGTACTTTAAAGCGCTTCCATAACTATTTTTCTCTTTTTGTTTTCTCTCGACCCAGCCCTCTCCTACCTCTCTGTCAGAGTGGACCATCAGGGGCAGATTCAGATTTTTGAGGCCTGAACCTTGCAAGAATTAGGGGGCCCTTTTAAAGAAAAAGAATGCAGACTTACATTTGCAAATTACTAAAGTACAAGACCAAGAGAACATTGCTGGGGCCACTCTCATCTCCTTGGAAGTGGCCATGCAGTTGTCCCCCTGAAGGTGGAGCTTTATTAGCTCCACCGTCCACCTCCCTGGGCACTTAATTGCACTGGATTGTTTATTTACAGATGCCTGTCCCCTGTCATTTGGCCATTCCCTATTCTGGGCACACTGTTTTATATATACAGACTTTGTTGAGTTCTGCTACCAGATCAAGAGCTGCAGGTGAAAGCCAGGCTCTTGATAAACACCCCCTGTTGTTGAGCACCTAATAAGTGCCAGACACTGAGGTAGACTGCTTACATAAATAAACTAATAACCACAGCAATGCTATAAGCTGCTTAATGAAAAACCCTTGATTCTCTTTGAACCAAGCATGGGAAAGGCTAAAATAATAAAATGTCAGTAGAAATCAACAGCTGCTGAAACATAAGGATTGGGTTTGTTTTCATCTTTCAATCCTTCATACCTAGGGCACTTACTGTGTCATAGTAGGTGTTCAATAAAAGTTTGCTAATAGCTTTATTTTGAATCCTTGAACGGATACTAGAATAGTCCATAGTTGGTTTCTGGGTATGCAGCTGTTTATGTCTGTATTATGAATTATATATTATGTATTATTATGAGTTATGTAGTATTTCTGTATTGAGAGACAAGAATGTTACCAGAAAGGAGACCTCGTCCTTAGCAGGTCTCCCTAGGGCTGGCCAGTAATGTGTGGGTTCTTGACTTCATGCAGGAAACATTTCAGGAGTCCAGGTGGATTTTAGAGGACGTTTATTAAAGTTGGGGACTTGATATAAGGAAAGGCCTAGGTCTGGGTGGAGAAATGAGCCTGTGCTGAGCTGTTTCGGTTCACTAAGAAGTCAGAGAAAGGGGCTCTGGGGGCAGGTTCATGGGTTTTGCCCAGAATGAACTGCAGCTGTCCATTGCTGCCCTGGTTGCAAGCCTGGTGGGGTCTCTTAGAGTTTAGGAGATGCTTCCTTGTGGGAGAAAAGAGGGAGAGAGAGGTGAAAGGCAATGTACTACTGGGAGGGAGAGTGCTAGCTGGGACCTTTGATTTAAAGGCTGGGAGTTTAGGGAAGGATCTCAACAGAATATTCATTAGTTTTATGCTGATATGCCAAAATGAGATTTATTTCCTTAATTTCATCTGTCCTTGAGTGTGGTTGGCAAATGGCAGTAATTGGATTTCTGCTGTCTAGGGGAGTAGAGTGACTTAAGCTATTTACCCTCTGGTTGGAGAGAAGTGCAAACCATTAGCTCTTTTTTTTTTAATTAATTAATTTTTTATTTTTTTATTTTTAAATTTTATTATTGTTTAAAATAATACAGATGTCCCTTTTTCTCCCCAATGACCCATTCCACCCCATTCCTTCCCCTTCCCCAGTCCCTCTCCCCACCATTATCCATGTCCTTGGCAAACCATTAACTCTTTAGTGCCCTTGGTTTGGGGAAGATAGGATTTACTATATGTCTGCATACTGCTTTTTAAGCTGTCTGTCTCAGGTTTTCTGTTCTGATTGTCCTGGCTTGCTAGCCCGTCTCAAGAACTCACATCAAAGTTGTGCCATGATGAAAAACAAATAGGAACGGACAGCCTTAGACAATATTGCAAAAGCCCATTTTTCTACTTTAATAACAACAGACATTTTGGGAGGGAAGATGCCCTCTTCAACCCACTCGTTCATAACCAACCAGTGAGATGAGAACTGGTACCCCTGTTTACAGACAGGTAACAGAACCGAGAGGCTGTCACTACCCAGCAGGCCAAGCGGAGAGAGGGCTTCATTGTCTAAGACAGGAGCCAGTGCACGAAATGTTCTTGGGTCTTGCTCAGCTACGAAATCAACTCTCATGGGTCAACCTCTTGCAAAAAGCACCTGCTGCTTTGGGAGGCTGTTGGGAGCTGTGTTTGTGGTCACACTGCTACCGCGGATTCCAGGTCCCCCGCAGCCCTGCAAGGTGGTAGGTGGTGGTCCCACTACCCTTCCCCAGTCTCCAGCCTGCCACCAGCAGTCCTGTGACGTCATGGCTCGCGCAGCCTGCTGGAGCCACTGCGCCTGCGCACACCGTTCCCCCGCCGCGCCGGCCTCCTCAGCTGGAGGTGACGACGGGGCCGCGCGGGGAGCGGCTGGCAGGACTGGCTTTGGGGGTTCCTGCTTCAGGTTTGGTGGCGGCGCCTGAGGCTTCGCGTCAGGTAGGAGTTTCGTGGGCCGGCGGGTCAGGGAGGGGCCTCGGAGTCCACGGAGCGAACCAGAGGTGAAGTCCGGTCAGGCGGAGGCTGGGCAGCGGTGACCAGAGCAGGAGGGGGCCGTCTCGCGTCCCCGCGGTCCGGCACAGGCTTGAACGCTCGTTTTTCTTCTATCTGGACCAAAGCTTTTCCGTTCAACCGCCGCCTGGACCCGCAGGTGGGAGGCACGGCCGCTTTGGGGACCGCGCC